AAAAGACAGGCATAGGAGTTGAATATTTACCTGAGGTAGATACACTCCTTGGAGAGAACAATCATGGGAGAAAGAAGGGCTGCTTATGCACCAGGAGACAGTTCAGGGGGCAGGAGTGCATGGAGGGATAGACACAGGGAAGAGGTGGCTGTTGGGAGGAAATGGGAGGGGAGCTGTTGCATTGTGGTGAATTGTGGTCAATGTCATGAGACAAAGTGTATGTGAACTGCTATATGGAAAGTGAATTTGCTCTATAAATTTTCACCCAAATTAAAAAAAAAAAAAAGTGAATGAAAAGCTCAAAAAAAGAAAAAAAAAATCTGGCCATTTTATCCCAACTGGGGACATAGCTGATGGGTCACTTCAGCCTGAGAACACCCTCTGGGACCAAAGCTGTTACCAGACCAGCATGGAGCTTTTCTCTCCTTAGTCCACTCCTGCAGCAAGAGTGGCATCACTTGGGGGGGGGGTGCAGGCTGTACCCACTGACACTGTCAGAAGAGATAACACCAAAATGACCTCAAGGCCCACAGCAGCAGCCCAGGAGGGAGGGGCTACCAAAGCACTGACATCACTAAATGTTCTAGTCACTCTTGTCATCCAGTGCAGTGACTCATCAATCCCACCCTCTATCACTCACTGGCACCTGCCATTGGGTGGAAAAGAGGATCTCCACCCTGGCCAAAGGGGGAGGGAAGCCTAGGGTTGAGGAGCAGCACTTAGCCATGTGAGGATGGGGGGCCCTGGCAGCTCCACTCACCAAGGGATATTCATGGCTGGCACTGCACATGGGTAGTAACAACATGAGTTACCAGCACTGGGTAACATCAACCCTAGTGAAGCCACTGCTTTTGCTTCCTTCACTTCCCTTCCCTTCCACAGGTGGTGGTCCCAAAGCAAACCTTCTATTTCCTCTTGCTCCCAATCTGGGATTGCCCCATGGCTTGTTTTGACCATAGAACACAGCAAAAGTAATGCTGTCCCAGTGCAGGGCTGGCCACTAAAAGGTCTGGCAGTTTATGCCTTTGCACTTCTGGAGCTCCTTGGAACATCCTGAACCCTAAGCTCCATCTTAAGGTCTGAGACCAGCACATTGCTTAAATGGGAAGCACTCAGAGGTAGTGTGGATTTGTTCATTTGGCAGATACCTCCTGAGGACTGCCATGTGTCCGTCAGTGGCCCTGAATGTTGAACATACATCCTTGCGTTCTAACTGGAAAGGTGGGTGGTCAAGCAGTAATGTCAGTGTAGCATCATCAAGGAAATACATACAGCTCTGGAAACATAAAGGAGCACTTTGGATGGAAAATCTCTCAGGGTAAGCCAAATGTTCCTGATGGATGATGGAAGCTGGCCCTATCTGCATGTGGGGGGAAGGAGGAGGCTACAGGTAGAGTGCACAGCATGTGCAAAGGCCTGAGGAAGGGAAATGGAGCATGGATAGTATAGGGGATTACAAGTGGCTCAGATATGGACATACAGCCTGGCTCTGTCAGGGTGTGTGATCCCAGCCGGGGTAAATTGACTACATGCTTTACAGCTCATCAAGAAATGGTGTCTGAATATTGTATTAGTCCGTTATTGTAAAAGTTAAGGAAAGGTTTATCTATTGGAGGAAATTTTCTTTGTTGGTTACCAGGGGTGGGAGGG